GATACATGGTATTTGTCAGTGTGTAATACCCATCTCAGTCAAATAATTACCCCCATAGTGAAATAGATTGAGTTATTAAACTTTTTTCCGTTATGGTTTAACTTGCTTGCTTTTCCAATAAGTTGTTGTTCGAACATTATAACTTCTCAAGACTCGTTCAATGTTTTAGGGGTCTGATTTTGTAATAGTCGGTATCTTGTTTGAGCAGTTTTCACAAAGTGAAGATATGGATGTTAGTTTACTGTGTGCGAATGGTGAAGTAAATATCACACAACCCAATAAGAATTAGTTTATTCTCGTAACAAATATGTTTTAATATACAAGCAACAATACAATTTACAGTAACAATTATTACAAATAAGTAGAACAAACAATGATTTACATACAAAAGTTTCACAAACTTACAAGCAATATAAAGTCTTCTTTCTAGTCTGGAACTTCCTTGATATCTTATTGAGGGCTGACGACGAGCGAGTTAATTTCGATGTTTTGCCCAGATACCTGAATACACATGTTAATTTGAAATCTGATCAAAAACACCTTAGGTGATGAAAAAAAAGGTGTGACCAAAAAAGTTTCAGTGTGTTACTTAAAGGAATGAAATCAAAATTGGCGGCGAAACTAGTAGCTACACTTTAGCATTGATAAGAATTTTTCAGCAAATATTCATTCGTTAGTTAGGCCACATTTTTTGTTTGGGTAAAATAAAACGCGCGGCTTCGTTAACTAATGATTGAATATTTAAGTCGCACACTGAATCCTTTTTTGGCCGCACCATATTTTCACACCTAAGGTGTTTTTGATTAGATATCATGACTTTTTGTCAATACACACAAACAAACCACACCAAATAAGAAGTTGACACTCGATAGTAACCAACATTAGCCTTAGGATCGCAACGTTATTATTCGGAACAGACCTTTACTTTACAAAGCCAACCAGGTTCTTTAAAATATATGGTGGTAGTTTTCCTCTCTAAAACAGTGTTAATAGCTTCCTTTATAATAACGCTATGGAAGTTAGAGTAAAGGTTGTTTTTGGCATCACCCTCATGCAATTGGTACAGCCCTATCAAGCATAATTATTTTTGCCAATTGTTTAAGATAATATCACGTGACGCCAAACGCTCTTTAATTAGGATAATTTCATAAACTTTAGTAAATTTGTACTTAAAATTCGGCAGTGAATAATCTCTATATAAATAAAATAAGAATTTTGTCTGTACATTGCTTAGAATAGTGTACTTTTTGCGTATCTTCACGTTTCATACACCAGAAAAGCCGAAACAAGCCTTATCTCAATTTCTGTCTGTCTGTGTGTCTGTCGGTAACGCTCGCGGACGTGTTTTTGTTCGCTTTCCACGGGAAAACGAGTGCACCGTTTTCGATGAAACTTTTTTCTTTGTTTTATAGGTGTGTAAGAAGGTTATAGGCTACTTGAAACTGTCATACGCCTTTTGGAAAGAAAGTGGAGGCCGCTCAAAAACCTGCTTTGGTGCGGTTTTGGAGGTGATTTTATTCGCTTTTCACAGGAA